TTTGTTCTCTTCCTCAATCCTTCTTGAAAGAGAACCTATCTATAGAATCATGTTCACCAAGGGATTTAGTGTCTATTTATCCTTTGCTTCTATTCCTTGTGTTCAAATTTTGTTCTCTGCTCTAGTGTGCAGGGGATTTTGATGGTTGCAATCCACAACTGAGGACCCCAGGGTTTAGCAGGTTTGGTTAGTGCAGCCTTGTCACGTTCAGGTGAAATATGATTCTTTGGCACTATGTACTGATTGGTCTGTAAGCAACTAACTCCCTGCATCAATTACTAACAGAATTCTTAACATGCCATCCCTCCATCACAGAGCTTTATTTGGGGGTCTCGGGATGCAAAGTGTAACACTGAATCCCTCCTCCTCACTTTCTACTGTGGGCTTTTGACACATCACCATTTCGGACAAGGATCCAGTTATTATGCGAGTTTTCTCAGGTGTGACTATGATAAAAAAACTTTTGTGAAAATGGAAATGTAAGTTACACTGAAAAAGAGAACTGAGGCCATTTTTCTTTTATGGAGTACAAATGACCACGATAATTCTCCCTCTTTTCTTTTTAATATATCCACTGCTAGCAAAAACAGCCTGATGAAAATACCTCAGAGGCCAGCATTCTCTTTTCTCCCACGTAAGGGCAATACCATCTACATCTATGTTTCTCTGGGCCTCCAACTTGCAGAAAATTTCATTATTTAACATTTATCAGACTACTGCAGCACTGAGCATTTGGAGAACACAAACAAGATATGTTCCCTGACTGTATCTTTCCCATGAGCATTCACACCCCCTGAAAAGACCAGCCAACAATGACTTTTCAGTCTGTACTGAAGAATCAGTGGGCAGAGACTATACCTGGGGCGAGGCAGGTAGTTACTGAGTGGAGATGCCTACGTATTAAATACGTAGTGCCTACGTATTAAACACATGTGAATAGTTTCCATTATCAAAAATAAGTGTTTTCCTTCATGTTTTTATTGACCTGATTCTCTTGATATATCGTTTATTTTTCCACTTTTTATGGAATTATGAACTTAGACGAATGTGTCTCGAATATAAGAAAACAACATGGAAAGCATGATAACAAATGATAACAGCAGAAGTCATTTGTAGCAAATGATATAATAATACAATGGGGAGTGGTTGGAGATCTGAATTTTTATGTGAAACATGGAGTTAAGCATGGTTTAAACATGGCAAAAATTAAAATTATATTGTGCAGACTACTTTTGAAGTATAACAGTTAGTGGCCAAATTTGACTACAATATGGCCTTCAAAAAAGTTTCTTTTGGTTATATTTTGTCTTTTGCATGGTGGTTTTGAGATTATTGCTCATTACTATTCTCACATGTTCCATTTTTAGCCATGTCTAAGGTGAGATTTAGGCAACCAAATTTTAGAAGTGCCACAAATAATTCTTATGCTCATCTAGGGTTGGGAGTCGTGGATATAGGCAGCTGGCTAGCGTGGATGTGCTCCCCCTACCTCCAACCTAACCCCATCCCCCAAAGAAATGGTTTGCCTTCCAAGAGTGACAGCAACAGCACATCCCTGATGAGATTCATTATTTAACTGTGTGACTGAGGAGATTTGTGGATGTGGCCCATAATCACAGGGAGGCATTTCCAAATGCTAGGAACGCTAAACCTCATCAGTTGCCATGTACCATATTCGAGGTAAGACTACGTTAATAATATGTGGATGATTCCAGTGAGGATAGAAAAGGCTCCTTGGCATAGTCCAAGAAAAAGATACAACAAAGGGGGAAAAAAGGTGTAACAGGTATGGGAAATGTGAGAAATCTTGACCTGAGACTATTACATGATCTTGTAAGGCAGGGGAAATTAACCAGATATTTCCATGTCTTTGAAGAAGCAGCCCTTTCATTCTTCCAGCCCCCTTTGACTTGATCATGTTCACCTAGTAGTCTTCTAATTACTAATAATATTTCATAGAAATTTTATTATTTGTCAGGGGTCTAATGAATCCAAGCATTCTAGTATAGACTTAATAGATTAAAATTAGGGGTTATAAATCAGTCCTCTACCAGCATCATTAACGTGACTCAGACTTCAAAACTCTGATCGGCTCCAAGCCCACTGACAAAATTCAGTTCTCTGGCTTGCAATGTTGATGAACAAACCCTTGAGCACCCTGGGAAGCTCAAGTTTGGGGAAGGTCGGAGAGCTGTGCTAGCAGCATATTCTGAGATATCACTCTGGCATTTTCTAATTTCAAAGCCAACTCAGGAAAACTGATTTTAAAACTGTATTTTGATGGAAATTTTTATCTGGAGGATCCAAAGTCCTCACCATTTTCCCTATATTTTTTCAGGATGTGAAAACTGAATTGAAGAAATCTGTTAAGTTTCCATGGAAATGGTGCCGATTAATTTTTTCTGTTCCTCAGGAAAATTCCTTGACTTAGCAATAATGTAACTTCCTGGCAATCCCTTGGCAGTCTTGAATGTAGGGCATCCGAAACACTTACAATTTCAGTGGGAAAATAGTTGGCTCTTGTAATCCCTTTTCCGTCCAGCATAGAGTGAAAGAATTAAATAATTTCTTTAACTTTCCTTAGAGAACCTGTCTAGTCCCTTTAGGAAATCTTGATTCTGACAAAAATTTCATAAAAGGGCCTTTTTTGTTGTTGTTCAAATAAAGAGATTATCATTGGTGAAGCAGGTACTGTTTTTCCAACTATACCATGAAATCCCAGGATAGTTAAAGAGTAATCATTAATTCAGGAATAAGCAGTTTTGATCGCCTAGTATGTCCCATGGGCTGAATAGTCATAAATATCTGAAAAGGTTTAGAGAAAAATGATTGGAGAGAATAAAGAAAAAAGTAAAATTGTATAATTTTAAAATCTTCCCAATTATTCTTAATTATCTCTTCTGTTCTCACATTAGATTCTGATTTCCCTGCAGACTGCAGTAATCAGGGAGGTTTTCCAACATTTCACAAGGTTTAATGTTCCTCTTCTCCTAGCAAGTAGAACAATATTCTTTTCTTTTCTACAGAATTACTGATATCCAGGGTTAAAAGAATCTAGGGAAACTGCTCTAAGGTGACTAATCTAAAACATCATCAATAAGTTGGATTTAAATATACAGAGAGAAAAAATTCATACAAAATTTGAGTAAAATTTTCATATCCTAGCCCTAAAAGAGTTTTAAAAATATACTGATTGTTGATCTTAATTAAACAAATTAGGTACCAAGGTATGGAGAGATATTAATCCAATAAAATATTTTATAATTAGGTTCTTATTTCCTTTCACTATTCTCCCCTCCCTTTTTTTTTCTGGTTACAGAAGGGACTATTTTTCTGTACATAAGGTGAAGAATAATTTGTCTCTAATAGACACTAGCAGCCTTTCCTTATGTTGCTCTCTGGGGGTAGCCAGAGGACAACTGGTAAGAGCTAGAATTCCAAGGACCTCTTCATTCCTCTTGCTATTTGTCACCTTCCTTCATCTCTGATGGGTTTCTTCACATTTCCTCCTCAATTTTAACAGAATTTAATTAAAACATGATAATTGAGTAATTTATTTAAAAATGCTTCAGGGAAATTTTCTCCTAAAGATCTCAAAGCATCCTCTCTCTTTGTTCTTTCCAAAACTCTGTGGGGTATGTGGGGGAGTCCTGATAGGAATAATCTCTACTTTGCTAATTCCTCAGGAACTGTTTGATTCTAATTGTAGAATGATCTCATATGGAGGCCTGCACTTCTTTCTTGAGAGAGGTAAAGGTACAGTGGAGGGATAATAACCTTAAAAAGATAAATCTTTTCCTTCAAATTATGAAATCACTAGAAATGGAAAGCTGTCAAATAGAGGTTTCTTTTCTTTTCTTTTTTTTTCTACATGTAAATTTGTAAGCAGTATATCTATGTGTTCAGGGCCAGAAATTCAGCTTCATCATGTGCTGCATTCAAGCATCATGTACTTAATTGGAAGAATGATCTAAGTACCATTTGAAGGGATGGATGAAGATCACTCGTTAAGGACATACCTTTGCTTGGAGGACAATCCATGACGCCTTACGAGCAGGTCCACTGAGGTGGAGTGAGAAGTGGATGCAGTCAGTGCCCAGCCATCTCTACGATGGCACGAAGGACACTGGTGGGGGCGGGGGGCGGTGTTCAGTGGCTACTGGGAGATACCTCTTGGTTTTATTTTAATGTGTCTTTCAATAATTTACTGGTAGCAATTTCAAGGCAATGCTATCTTGGACTGAAGTTATTTCCAAGGTGCATTGAGATTATTGATTATCAGAGCCAGCCCCCTACATCCGTCACCTTTTACATTTTTCATTTTTGAACTTTAACCAAGCGCTTATTATCAGGGGGAACATCGTAGTAAATAACCTGCTAGAGTTTCTCTTTCCCACTGGAACCAGGCACGTCAGGGAAATCTTAGAGAGAGAGGACAATTTTGCTACTGTGTGTGCTGTCTCTGTAGCTACAGTTTTCAGCTTGTTTCTGCCTGACAAGTAAGTGTTCCAAAAACTGCTAGATTGAGGGTGGAGAGCAAAAGAATAGTGAGACAAGGGTCCAATCTTTGATTGGAGTTCAATGCAGAGTACAGAAATCCCATGCTGGTCCCCTTCTTTGAGAAATCAATCATCTGTTCCCCCGTCCCCAACCCACCCAACTTACACTCCAGAGGCTTCTCTCTAATGGTCTATGAAAGCATGGTCTCCATACAGGTTAGAGAAGTTGTATCACTTGACCTTCCTACAGCCCTGGTAACAACATCATCAACATCACCACAAACATTCTCACAAGGTTGTTTCTTGCCTTTATTAATTGAAATAATTTTCTTGTATTAATCTAATGACAAAATTATATTTGGGCAAGACACTAATTAAAGAGTAAGACTAATCAGGCACACAATTATTTACTTCTATCCTCAGAGACTTTACCCAATATTCATAGGACTTCTTTAAATCTTATTTAGAGATTATTGAATAAACTGAAGTTCATGTTACTACCTTGTCTCTTAAGACCATGGAACTTGTCACCATCAGATTGTCTTCCAGCTGTCTTTTGTTGAAACACTGTAAAAAAAAAAAAAAAGCACATAATATTTACTAAACACAAGCATGAAAAAGAACAGACTGTGGAAGTCTCCAGGAAACTAGAATGTGATACCTCATTTTCCTTAGTAGCAATTCTTGAATTGTATTATTTTTGAGTAGGAGGATTATTAAATTTACAATTTTCTCATTTGCACAGCTTATCAGTCATTACAAAAAGCATTTTCTTTAGGCAGAAGAGTGTAATGCTGATGGAACACCTCATTAAACTATTTAAATCAAGATATGATTCCATTCTGATATCAGGTAAAGCTAAAAGGCGCATTTTGTTAAAAGTGATAAATGTTAAAATCACACGAAAAATTCCATTTGCACAGAAATTACTCATGCTGACTTTCTGGTGATAAGCAAGGGTAATGACGGTTTCTTCTTAAACAGATGAAAAGACTGCTGTATTTCACAGATGTAATAATAAAAAAGATACTTTATTCTTGCATCATCTAGCTAGACCTCAGACCTATTAAAGCAGCTTATTCGAATTACTTCATTATCTGAAAAGTGCTTTGTTCTCATTTATTATTTCTCGCACGAAATTCTGTGAGACAAATCAGCATTACTCACCCCATTTTGCTGATGAAAGATAAAATTGATTGTTTAATATTTATTGAGCACCCCACAAAGTTCCGTATAGCTTCTGGCATTTGTTAATGAAAAAGCTTATACCCTTTACAACTTGACTTTAGAAATTGAACATCCCAGAGTTCATGCTATTTATTTTTTATGGGTAGTCTGCATCACAGGGTTTGGAAACAGCTAGAGGCCTTGGAGATTGAGTCCAACCTCATATGTGTAAAGATGAGGGAGGTGGAAGTTTTAATAACTTATAAAAGGGCTGAGTAATTTCGCAATGATCCCAGCACTGTTGTTAGTAGAGACGTGATTTAGAGCCTCAAGCCTTTAACTTCGACCGATTGCTTGGTTCTCCACAGCACTGCTACCTCTTCTCTTCCATAACTATTTCTTTTGAAAGATAAAGATGGAGATAGAGGGAGGGGATTCACAAGAACCCCTGAGCACTGCCAGCATGCCTGGGTCTCTTGATCCTCTTAGCAGCTCACCAGACTTTCCTGGGACAATGGAGCTGAGGCATGTGGGAGGGAGCGAGCAGCGCAGCTGGATGGTGCTTGACCACTCTGATGGGAAGATGCAGCCCAGCAGTTGTCTTATATTCTCTGTCTTTAGTTTTAATATTCTTTAGACCAATCTATTATCAAGGTCACACCTGTGTTTAATCTGGATGACATCTTTTTGAATTTATAAAAATTGCCCCAAATCCTATCACATCAAAAATGATTTATTAAGCATATTTAGTTTGTCAAGACAAAGAGTAGTCTGCCCTACTGTCTTCTTTCAAACAGGAAAAGCAAATATATTTTCAAAGTATGATGTGTTTAAGAAGAGTTATACTCATGAAATAACATCATTTCTGGTTGAAAATCAATTTTCTGCTTCACGTTAGTATTTGGAAAACATGCTAAATATAACTTAATGGCAAGTTCTGGGCTTGTGGCTTGTATTTTTCCTTAAATAAAATATAATGATGGATATATGGTGTGTGAGTATATTTTAGGATATTAGAAAAATTTTTACAAGTGGTGCTTGATTTTTTTTTCACTGGCCAGTTCTAAAAAGTCTTGAAAATATGAAACAGTCTTGAAATTTTAATAACAGGGGGAGTCTTTGCGTGCTTTTTCTGTTTTGCCAATATTGTTAAGATGATAACTGAAAATGTCGAAGACAAAAAACGCTGTAGTCTGGCATCATTAATATGGAAAATAATCTGAATCCAAAGATAAATCTGGACAACAAATTCTCCAAATAAAGAGTACATTGATCGATCAGTTTTAATAATTCTGCTGCATTTTGAAGCTACAGAGTACTTGGTATTAGTTTTTCCAGATTTTTGGCATTAGTTTTTTAAAAATCATTTCACATCCTGTATGTGGTTCTGCTGACAACAAATGCCCAGGGTGCGTGAAATGCAGTAAATGCGACACAAGTCAACACTCTCTTTCGGTTTCTAGCCTTAGAATTATAAAGAGTGTTATTTATTTCTTGTTGAGATTTCACCAGGGTTTTCAGCTGGAAGAGCCTGGGATCTGAAGGAAGATTGGGAGGGAAGTTGGATGTCTGAGAAGGATGGTTATCAAAGTGCTGATAAGAGAACTTTTTAAAAGCAGGGTGTGCATCCTGTCACACCCCACAGTACAAAGGCCCTTTCTCCCTGGATAATCTCTCTTGAAATTCCCTCTTAACTCACCTCCAGCTGCACCCATTTCAATTGGTCCCCTCCTTCCACCTACACACAAGCCTCATTTCCTTACAAAGACGCAATTAGCACATTACCAAACACACTGTTTTCTTGATGCTATGGAAGTTAGGAGGTATTTTTGAATGTGAGGTAATCTTGGAAAAAGACCTATATTAACTTGTCTCCTGAAGAAAGTGCTAGTCCATCAAAATGATCACTGACTCAAACATGCATAACAAGCTAACTCTGTTAGCCTTAGGAAAAGGATAGGTAGATATAAAATTCCAGAATTCGTTAATCTTTCTTTTTTACGGTTAATATTAGCCGAAACATTTTAAATTTACCAGTAAAACCTTTGTTATAAAAAGCTTTATACGCTTTCTAGTTACCATGCTCACTGACACAAACCTTTATAAGAGGTAAATGTAAAATCCATGATATCCTGAGAATTGAACATTGGGTTATGGGTCACTCAGCTTTATATATGAAACTACATACTTCTGTACAAGATTTGTGGCGAATAAAAAGAGAGTCTGTTTTAAACATACAGAAATCGGAAAAATAACAACCTACCTATATGCCAGAATGCTAACTAACTTGGCACCGGGGAAGGGGTATAGTTTTATCTTAATGTTAACAACATATGTGACATGGGAAAATGGCTTTCCCCTCCTGGCACTTTATTTTCTTGCTGATAAAGGTGGAGCTCAGATGAGATGATCTCCGATGTCTCACTCAACTCTGACATTCTAAGATGCTACCAATTCTTATTTCCCAAGTCACTCCAGGCCCAATAGTGTCTGGATAAATTCTTAAGTACGAATTTAAATAGGGGGCTCTGTTTTGAGGAAGAGATTATTTGTACTGAGGGCCTAGACTAATAGAAAAACTAGAAAGTTGAACCACAGACCAAGGTTAATTTTTTAGAAAATATGGAGGTGATCCTGTCCCTATGTGCTTGAATTCTTGCAGGATACTATTTTTTTTTAAATCACATTTTACTGCATCAGTGTTCAAAAAATGTCATTAAGGCAATTATGACATGCATCAACATTGATGACTCTGCCTCAGTGAAATCTTATTTTTCTCTTCCTACCTAAAATTGGAATTTGAGAAGAAAGGAAAATGAATACATTATTAGTAGTTGTCACCACCTTTAAACATTAAAAAAAGCCCATAGAGAAAGAAAAACAATTTTTGAAGTTCAAAATAATCTCAAACAATGCAAATGTCCCAAATACCATCCCCATTTATCTTAAATATTGGCGGAACAACTTCTATAAAATTTTCTCTAGAATAGAAATGACACTAAATGGAAAAAAATTAGCATAGTATTAAATATTCAAAACATTAAGCAAAGCAGAACTATCAGAAGAACAGAGGAGGAGGAGAAGGTGAAATATAATGAATTCACTGGTACTATTTGTCTTTCCAGGTTGCTTTTGCAAGAACATTCTTCATGTCAACTTCATTTATGGCCTATTTCAAGCAAAGGGACCCTACCGAAGCCACCCTCCTTAAAACATCTGACAAAAGTTATTTGGAATTTCTTTGTAAGTGGCTAAGGTAATGGAAAGTCTGTGCAATAGCCAAATGCATTCATAAAGATGTGGCTTATAAACAACAAACCCCTTGATGGTCCATGCCCATTAGAAGTGCAACATAAAATGTTTAGAGCTATCACTGAAGATTATTCTCGAAACTAGAGATTTGATATAAAAAAGTGACGGATTTGTATTATGCTCTGGGTTCTCAGAATGATATTGTACACGTAGCAGCAGTGTGTTTATTATTTACTCAATAAGCTTTCATTACGTTGCTAACTGTGTAACCAACTGCAGTGTTAGGCAAAGGTAAATAAAACCCAGTCATAGTTTCCACAATGTCCTCCATTTTCATGTATTCATTTAAGCAAAGGTCAAATGTGTCCTTAGCGCCTACTGATGAGAGAGGATAGAGATGAGAAACAATCAGGGAAGGCAAAGGTAGTAATTTGACCCCTGAGGCCTTACTCTTCCTACCTTGTTCACCCCAATTTGCACCCTGTGAAAGGTAATCACCAAAAGGTGGAATGAGGCAAAGGCAAACAAACAACAAAAAACCCCACAAAACCCAAAACACTGTAAACAACCCCTTTGTCTAAGCAGCAAAAACAGGTTAAGAGAATATTCTAATCCTGTAAGTAGTCACACTGTCTAAACAAACCGAAGCTCAGAGGAGAGAGGTAGCTTCTTTGCAAATTGACCAAGACAGATTAAGCACTCCTACTGGCTTAAAACCACCATTGCATTCTGTTAGCGATAGTTACAGGTTATTAATTTGAACCAATTTATCAAACATAGGTCACCACATTTGAATAGGCACATTAGGGTTGGCATGGCCATAGACAGTGACATCAGCTACATCCTGTGAAGGCTGTCCAACTGAAGGTAGTTTACTGCCTGGGAGATATATGGAATCAGGAGTTACGATATTCTCTTCTTAAAGGAGAATACTTCTGAGATTGGTAGGGAAGGAAAGTTGGAAATCACATAACTACCGGAAGGAAAATGGCATAAACATTCTAATTCAACGGCCATATCAATTTTCCCCTAAGGAGAAAGCATGAATTTTCTTTCCAGTTTGTAATGGAAACTTTAAGTCTAATAGACATAAAAATCTTCTCCCCAAACAGGAAATCTTATTATAATTTTTTTTTCTCTTTCTAAGG